GCCCTCTTGGCCCGTCTTGGCGTCCTTTAGGCCCGTCAAATGTACGCGCCACCACTTCCCAGAGCCCAGGGGGTACGCGAAAAGCCCCGAGGGGACATGCTGGAAGCCCCGGGAGATGTGTGAATTTGGGGCTTGAGGACTCTTCTGGAGTGAGGCTTAAGGCTCACAGGATTTGGCCCAGGACCTGAGGACACGCCCACTGCATGCACAGCGGCACGGTGGCGGATACAGGTCTGAATGTACACAAGCACACATATACGTGTATCCATATTTTATACATGCAAACAAACAAACAGCCAAACAACAAACATACACACATATATACATACATTCGTACGTGCACATATATATATAGATATATGCTCGGTCCCCCCCCCCCAGCGACCCCCCAAAACGCCCAAAACACGAAGCCGCGGTCTTGAGATGCTGGCACCGAACAGCCGCAGACACATGGTCTGTCACAGCGGGCTGTGACCCGAGAAGTATTCCTCCTCATCTTACTCTCCCTCATCCTCCCCCTCCTCTTCCATCTCCCCCCTCGCCTCCTGCTTCTCCTGTTACTCGTCCTCCTCCTCCCTCCTCCCTCGTCCTCCACCTTCTGTTCTTCCACCTGGTCCTCTCCCTGTTGGAGAACTCAACTTTGGCCTGCCATCCAGGCTGACGAACTCATCCGTTCGGCCCATCCGTCACGGGCACCGTGCGCGCAAGCATATCGGTTTCGGCCGAGGCCACGAAACACTGTGTATCACAGGTGTTTCTGGTTTTCTGGTCTGGGAACCAACGAAACACTGCGTATCACAGGTTTTTCTGGTTTTCTGGCTTCTGGAGCTGAAATGCTCGCCGCGGCCTCGCCCCACCGCTCCCCCACTTCCTGTTTGTCGGCACCTGAAAACCAGAAAAACCAGAAAAACCTGTGATATACAATGTTTCGTTGGTTCCCAGACCAGAAAAACCAGAAACACATGTGATACACAGTGTTTCGTGGCCTCCGAGCAAGAAAACACTGTGTACTCTTCGGGGACTACAGCGCACGCCGCTCACTGGCAGTGCTCCTTGAGGAAGGCCTCCTCCAGCATCTTCCCTGTTGCCAGCCACAAATCCTCGCCCCTGTGCCAGTACAACCACTGGTAGGAACCAGAACCAGAACCAGAACCAAAGTCAGAACCAGAACCAGAGCCAGAACCAGAGCCAGAACCAGAACCAGAACCAGAGCCAGAACCAGAACCAGAACTAGAACCAGAACCAGAGCCAGAACCAGAACCATAACCAGAACCAGAGCCTTGCTCGGAGGCCACGAAACACTGTGTATCACAGGTTTTTCTGGTTTTTCTGGTCTGGGAACCAACGAAACATTGTATATCACATGTTTTTCTGGTTTTTCTGGTTTTCAGGTGCCGACAAACAGGAGGTGGGGGAGCGGTGGGGCGAGGCCGCGGCGAGCATTTCAGCTCCAGAAGCCAGAAAAACCAGAAAAACCTGTGATACGCAGTGTTTCGTTGGTTCCCAGACCAGAAAAACCAGAAAAACATGTGATACACAGTGTTTCGTGGCCTCGGCCGAAACCGATATGCTTGCGCGCACGGTGCCCGTGACGGATGGGCCGAGCGGATGAGTTCGTCAGCCTGGATGGCAGGCCAAAGTTGAGTTGTGTATTCGTGCTTTGGGCGCTCTGGGGGGTCGCTGGGGGGGGATCGACCCATATATATATATATATATATATATATATATATAATATATATATATATATATATATATATATATATGTGTGTGTGTATGTGTGAGCGCATCGGCATACCAACATACAGGCATACAGACATACTTGCATGCATGCATACAAACATACATGCATGCATACCCACATACGCATATACTGATGCATACACCTGCAAACTTACCTACACATATACATAAAGTGCCATGCATGTGTACGCGTACATGTACACATACATATACATATGACTAGACATATACATATACAGATGCATGTGTCTATACATGTACCTGCACATGCACCTGTACATGCACATGCACATGTATATAGACACGCGTATATATGTATACATGTACATGCACATGTACGTATACGCATGCATGTACACAATCATACATCTATATATGTGTGTTCACGCGTACAACGATCTAGACACATGTACGTATACACATGTATTCACACATATGAAGACATCAATGCATGCATACATGCATGCATACATGCATGCATACACACATTCGTACGTACACATACACATCTCTATCTATCGATATATATATATATATATATATATATATATATATATATATGTACCATGCACCAGAAAACATACATGCATGCGTGCATACATTCATATGCAAACAATCAAACAAACAAGTACATCCACACTCGTACACAGTTGTTCTGCATATCTACAGGTTAAGAGCGCGTGTATTTTGACAATGCCGGCTTGAGATCTCTGCCGAAGGTGGATTCAAGGGCGGCGGCAAAGGTGGCAGATCTGTGAAGGCGCGGCATTCCACTGCGAGTGCGAGGGGTCAGTGTGCGTGCAGCATAGAAGTCAAGGCCAGGGGGCAGGTGTAGTAGAAGTTTGATGTGTTGCCCCTTACACCGTGCTCCAGAGGTTATGATTGCAGAGGGTGGATTCGTTGTCACAGTAGGGCTCTTCTGGGGGGCCAGCGACAGACGTCCAGATTTGGAATGACGATCGCGTTTGAGTCGGATAGATATCACAGCAGGCGGTATGCATGTGATTTCTAGTAGTCGATGGCGCTTGTGACCAAGAATAGTGAGTTGGTCTGGGTATGAATGATGATTGTCGAGCCCTGGGCAGGCGAAAACCATACTGGGCCCACCTGCGCACTGCTAGCTGCTCTGGATTACTCGCTACACTTGTGCTTTGAGAGGCCCTCGCCAGTGTAAAGATCTTTGTGTGGCCCTCCTCCTCCTCCTCCTCCTCCTCCTCCTCCTCCTCCTAATCCTAATCCTCCTCCTCCTCCTAATCCTCCTCCTCCTTGCGCACTTGCTCTGGGGCGGTTAAGATGTCGCACGACATACGGTGCCAGACAGATGACGCGGCTCACTCTTCTAAAGGAGGCGATGTCCAGAACGATCTCTTTTCATAGACATGTGTGCAGGGCGATTTCTCCCAGCTGTTTTCTGGAAAACGCCACGGAAGGCTTCAGGAAGGAGCTTGTTCCCCAAGCAGTGCTTGCACTGAAGGGGCCCCAACGGATTTTGGTAGCCGGCTGGGTCCCCGGGTTCCCGGTTCTGGGTTCCCGGGTTCCTGGTTATTGGTTCTGGGCCGATTTCGGTGGGTGTTCCCGGGTTCTTGGTCTCTCTTTGTCGATCAACCCTAGCCTACAGACCACCAGAAAAATAGAAATTAGACTCGCCGTTGTGGAATGTGTCACACGGTTTGCGCGCTTCTACAAAAAAATAGACTCGGTATCGTTTTCGTGTTTATTATTATAGGAATTCAGCTCCAGCCCCAACGTGGCTTTAATTATCATGTCTATGTCGTGTCTATCCGTGTCTATATGCATTGGTGTCTATTCGTGTCTAACGTGTCTAATTAGAACGTGTCTATTCGTGTCTATCTCCCATGATTTCGACGTGTTCGCGTCTATTACTTCCGTGTCTATTTTTCAAAGTGCGTGTCTATTTTTCCCAAGAGTACCGTTTGTTCAACAAGATGTGGTGGCGCCCAATTTCGAATTTCCGAAGACGGTCCAAGAGGGCCCCGAGTCGCCGAACGATCGGTCCAAGACGCCCAAGATGGCATCCAGACGGCCCGATGCGGCCTCCAAGACGCAAGGCCTGCGGCAGCACTCCAAATCCAATCATTTCACGTAAGTTTTGAAGGATTTGGGCGTTCTCGCTTCTTCGGCTTACGCTCCAAGACGGCCCATGAGGCCCCAAAGATCGCCCCAAGACGGCCCAAGAAGCCTCCAAGAGGGCCCCAAAACAGCCCAAGAGGGCCCCAAGACGCGTTTTTTCCCTCAACGATTCCGCAGTCTCCGCGCTCCCCCTAGATCTCTCGTGTGATTCCAAAGCGTTTCAATGTGTGATTCTCCTCAGCTCCCCCCAATTCGCCCGTTTATCATGCTCATTGTTTCTGCACTCCTTTCAACTCCGCTGAATTCCAATCCCATCCTCCACGTTATTCCACATTCTCCCGTCCCGACTCCCCCCCGTATGCCGTGTCTATTTTTGCCACACCGTGTCTATTTGTTTCGGGCTCCTTTTGCGCGTATATTCGTCGCGTGACTATTCGTGTCTAATCATGTCTATTCGTGTCTATTTATGAGCCGTGTCTATTATCGTGTCTATGTGTGACGTTCATGTTTATGTTTGATTCACTGTCGTGTCTATTTTCAATAAATTCGTGTCTATTTCAGAGAAGTGTCTATTCGTGTCTATTTTTCTTAAACAAAACCATATGTGTTACATTGCGCGCAGCGAGAATTTATAGACACGACTAGAAATAGAAACTGTGCAACAGTATCACGGAAACCGAAAGCGAAAATAGACACCCCGTCTTGTAGGCTAGGGAAGCCATCCACTGATTGGGGCTTTTTTTGGTGTAATCAGAAGCCCTCCGGCCTTCTGAGAAGGTTTCTGTGCCCTCGGGGAAGGCTTCGAAATTTCTCAGAAGACCCGAGGCCGTCAGAGCCTTCTGAGAAGGTGGCCCCCTCTCACTTCCCCCCCAGGCTCGTCGCCGAGAGCAGCGAAGATGGCCCCACAAGGGCCTGCTCGCGATCTTACCACCGCATCCTTCGGGCTCCAGCCCAGCGCGCCTGGGCCGCCATGCCCATCTTCTCCTCCTCCTCCTCCTCCTCCTCCTCCTCCTCCTCCTCCTCCTCCCCCTCCTCCTCCTTCTCCTTCTCTCCCTCCTCCTCCTCCTCCTCCGCCTCCTCCTCCTATCGCGGCTGTCTGGAACGCTGGCGTGTTGGATGGAATAAAGGCTGGGCCTGGCCACGCGCACACATTCCCAGACCCCCTCGGGTCGTGAAAAAACATGGCGGGAGGCTTTTCATGATTTTCGGCTTCTGGGGGCCCTCATTGAGCCTCGGGACCGTGAAGAAACGATTCGCGATGAAACGCAGGTCCCTGGGGATGCGTCCAGACCGCTGGGAGTCCACGTCATGCAAGAATCACAGCGCCAGGGGTCTGGGTTCGAAGACCGTGCAGGTCCTCGGGGGCGCCGTGGGAGGGCCGACACGGCGATCGAGCCTGGGCGCGGCATGCCGAAGAGAGCACGCGAGCGGCGAGTCTGCACGGACGCCAAGCATCCACGGAGAAATACGTAATTGCAGACCGTCGGGGCGCTGAGGAAGGAACCCTTCTCGTTTGGGAGGCGCTCAGTGCTCCTTAGCTGTTTTAGGGTTCGCCTTCGGTTGTCCTTGTCCTTAGGCTCTCGATGGGAAAACTCAGATTCAACTTATGGAAGGAATGGGGCCTCGTTCCTGACTTAGGGTTCCTTCAGTCAACGCCCCGACTGTAAGCAGGACGTTTCTGAGCTCCACGCGGATCTCTTGGAGCTGGGCGGGGGCCCCCGTGGTGGCGCCTCCGGCGCGCTCCGCGCGCCACGGAGGCGGGGCCCGGCGCCGAGCCAAGAGAGCAGCGCGACCCCTTCGAGAGTTGATGTCGATGCAGTTGTGCTTGTCTTGCAGTTGAGCCCCCACCCCCAGAGGAGAAAAGAAGATATAAGTCGGGCACGTCCCTCTCCAGGAGGAGTAAGTAAGCATTTTTGTTTCAAGTAATGAGGGGACCATGTTTTGCTTCTTTTAGTGTATGTTTGGACTATGTGCTGCTTTCGCCCCAAATCTCCCTGTAGGAGGACACGCCCGACCTAAGTATAGCAGTGGGAGGCTCCCGCGGGTGCACTCGCAACCACCCCTCTATACGAGGATGTGGAGTGCAACGCGGGGCTGCAGAACGGAGGACTGCAGCTGCGAACAGGATGGCAAGAAACATGTCTGCACACAAGACAGCCAGAACTGCAATCAAATCTACGGATCGCATGCGTAGCCTCAGGTGGACCTATGTCCGATGGCGTTTCCTTTTGATATTTTGTTTGCCAGTCTGGGGCTGCATGTCAAAACCTGCCCCGCGCGCTCCACTCCTGACGTACCCGCCGGGAGTGCAGATCGCGTCCCGGTCGCGAACCACTTCAGCGAGGATGTTCGCGGCCTGGGCAGGGCAGGCATTTCCCATGGCCATCAGAGCCTTGTTTACGGCAACGTCATCGATGAGCTTGGGCGCGAAGATGCCCTGGTTGAGAGCGTCTGCGATGTTCTGGATTTCGTTTGGCTCCTCCTCGCACAACGCCTTCGGGGTCCTTTCCACGTCCGTGGAGAAAAACACGTCGAGAGACGAAGCTGGCAGCTGCAGGCTGGGAACTGCCGAAGGCATGGCCTCGACCGCGGCGTCGTCAGCAGCCCCGTCGACGGTCGCACCCAGAGCATCGGTCCCTAGCTCGTGGCCCAGGGAGGAAGCCTTCTCCAGCACGTGCGTCGTGGCCGCGCCGACGACGCTGTCTTGCTCCTACGAATGGCGCTCTCATGCCCTCCATGGCCGGGCTGGATGTGTTGACGGACGCCGGCATCTTCTCTTCCGCCTGGACGGCCGCGCAGTCTGCGCCCCCGTTGTCGCTCCTCGTGGTGAGCACGCTGTCCACGCCGAGGCTCGCACAGACGGCCTGAGTCCTGCGCTCCGACCTCCAGCGTGACGGGCAGCTCCCCGGGTCCTCCTCGGCGAAGCCCGACTCGACCTGGAGCTCCATCACGGCATCGGCGGCCAACCCGGCGTCGGGGTGGCTGGCAGAATTGCGTAGCCTCGAGGGCTTCCCGAATCTCGCTGCGATGTCGCGTTCGCCGCGAAACCGCATGTGGGCACCCCTCAGCTCGGGCACAGCGGTTTTGACGCCGGTGCCCGGCTGCCACGGCCAACGCCTCTTCTTGGAGAAGCTCGGGCGTCGTAGTAGGCGAAGCGCTGTCTGGGCCTACCCCAGAAGCTGCAGCACCCGACACCGCTGTCGCGAGCAGGCGGCCCGCGACGCCGTTGTCCAGCGCAACGCAAACAGCCCCGTGGGCAGCGGCCGCCGCGGGGGGCTCCAAAGCAACGCTCACGAACCTACAGGAGGAAACAGCTTCCGAACAGTGCAATAACGGAGTGCGTGCCGTGGGAATGACCTCAGGCAAATGCGAGAATCCCTGAGCCGAATGGCTACGGAAAGGAGGATGGAGGCGGAGGGGTGCGGGAGGAGGGGGTCAGAAGCCACATGCGCTCGCGCCACATTTGACATCCTATCCCTCCCTCCCATTCCTTCCCAGGGCGCCCATGTTTTCGCTTATCCGCGGACGCGTAGCCGACCTGGAACTCAAAAAGAAGACCCCACCGAAGTGTGTGCAATCGGAGAAGGAGAGCTGCGCATACAGGTCAGGAGGAAGCAAACCACAAAGGCATCAATAAGCGTCGATTTCCAGGAAAGTATGGGAAAAAAT